GGCCATAAAACTGAGCAGAAAGTTTCAGATTTAACCACCTCTGAATTTTATGTAATAGTTCAAATACGAGACCGAGGACTTTACCGGCATTTCAAAGTCCGAGAGCGTTTTGAAAAGGCGAGCCGCAGGCGAGCCTTTTTAATGCTCGAGGACTTCGAAATCCCGGTAAAGTCCGAGGTCGAGTATTTGAACTGGCTTCTCAAACTCATCAATTATGCAATTCAGTTTCACGCATGAATATTTTTACTTAAAAATTATATGCTTCAAATGCTACGCCATGCGACAAGCGTGTATAGATTGTTGTAAACGAGAGTGCGAGACATGGCAGAGAACAGTTTCAAAGTGAAGACAAACTTGTTTAACGAATGAAAGCGTTGAATGAAAGCGAAGACAAACTTGTTTAACTTAACGTACAAACTTGTTTAACGAATGGCTGACAATATATTGTTCTCTGCAATGTTAGTAAGACAGAAAACAATATTTCTGAGTTTGATGAGTTTATGAAAGATTATCTAGCGAGTCAAGCGTTGTTATTTATTGAACTGCTCAACAGCATGCACCAGTCGAGAAAGCCAAACAGGTTGCGAGTCCTAAAAAGAAAACGTTTCAGTCTGCCAATATATCCAACTGTATAGTGTATCAATAAATCACTATAATCGTTAAGTGCGATTGCAGAACAAGCGAGATATTTGTGTTATTAGTTAACGATTATTATATGTGTGCAAAAGTGTGTTTAATTTTGCTTTATAGTTTTGTTAATGGCAGAACAATATTCTGTACCTTAAATTAATTCCAGTGTACTAGTACCTTGAAAAATTTAAAAATACTAGTACCTTGAAAAATTTCAAACTACTAGTAGTTTGAAAATGAATACTTAATCAGGCCCGCTGATCCCTGGGAGATTTCAAATCCTCCACCTGCTTTGAAGACAGTTTTTTTCCAGTTTCAAAACACTGATTAAACATTAATTTCTTTTGTTTTCGGTTTATAAATTATTAATGAGTTTGAGAATACAATTTCTCTGTCTCTGTCCTCTGAGCATGTTCAGCCAAACCACATGCAAACTAACAAATGAAAAAAACTGAAAATAATTTCGAAGTCATCCTTCTTTTATAGCTTAGTGAAAATGTGCTAAGTTTTGTCTTTAGTAAAATAAGGGGCCGATTACGTGGAGGTTTTCAGCCCGGGATGAAATTTCAGCCCGGGGCCCTATAAATTCAATATAATATGAATTTTACGATTACATGGAAAAAATTTCGAAGTGCAAACGAAATGCAAAATAAAGCCACTTAAACGATTGTTTCTTAGCCTGGGCTGAAATTATTTGCGATTACATGGGATATTTCATCCCTGTTGACAGGGCTGAAATTCAGGCCGGGTTGAAATTTTCATCCCGGTTTATGTCACCCAGGATGAGATTTTCAGCCCTATCAACCGGGATGAAATATCCCATGTAATTGCAAATAATTTCAGCCCGGGGTAAAAAAAACAATCGTTTAAATGGCTTTATTTCGCGTTTCGTCTCATCTTTAATACTTTATATGCAACCACAGTCTTACACAAGTCAAATAGTCGACTAATCGGCGTTTTAAATGCTCAAACAAGCGGAATATTGCCTTTCGTGATATCGTATGATTTCAGGCCGGAATGACATTTCATCCTGGGTTTGTTTCAATACTACAAGGAATAAATATTGCTCTGACTAAAACTCAGCCCAGGTTCAAACTGTCCATGTAAACGTGATGCTATTTCGGCTCGGTTTACCCGGCTGAAATTCAGCCCAGGCTGAAAACTCTCCATGTAATCGGTATGAAATATACAGAAATTATCTCGGTCATAGCACTATCTACTTAGTCTTAAATAAAGAATGCTGTGACTGCTAAAACCATGTAAATTGCTAATAATAGCCATTCTTAAGGAAATGCATTTTCGGGTTTAATTCCCGATGAAAATAGCAACTATTTATGAGAAAATAGCGACCGGAACTTCCGGAAGGAACAAAACACTTGTAGATTTCAGTCACGCTATATGTCGAAAATACCCAATATTCACGGCCTCCGTACGAACTCTAAATGCAATAACCCAGACTAATTTTTTTATATGTTCTAGAAGAACATTTGATTAGTTAATGGCGTACGTTTCGTGTAGAAAAAATCTGGGGCACTTAGTTAAAATGGTTTTGGCGTGGCAACGGTAGATTGTAATTTTAGCTATGTGTGAATACCATACGATTCTAAATATCAGCTGTCTGGTTTTAATTAATAGTTAATATCACGATTTTATACTCAATCGAGTCTCAAACATCTCTTCCATCGATTTACAAACGTACATTTTTCATATCTTTTCCAATTCTGCATGCGTTAGTTGTTTTTGAACCTGTTTGATTCAATTGAAAATTTGCATATTTTTTAGGCCGCCGACAGTTGAATCGTTTTTCTCGGATTTCTCAGAATTTAAGCGGTTTTTTGAAAAACAAACTACATCACGTTTGTTTACTTGGTAATACCTTCCTGCAAACCAAAAATGAGCAAAATCGAAACTTTGAGCGTGACCGGCTGATGCTCGATATTAGTGGACCTTCGCTCTTAATTGTTCCAATAGTTTTGCTTTGGAGAAAAATAATTTCTTATTTATGTCCGGAAATAGAAATAATGTGAAAAAATTATATTTCAGACCAGGTCAACGAAGAAAAGTGCAGTCGCTGGTACCGGAGCGAGTATCATTTTGTGAGATAAATTTATTTATGTAGATATTGCTCATCGATATTGGACCACAGTCATTTATATTGGACCACATGAAGAATGCTCGCACATTGAAACACCAATCTTACCTTCGAGCTGGCACTTCTCGCTATTTACTTTGGCGGAAACTGACAGTTCAAAGGTAATATTCCAGATATTGATTTTATGCCGAAGCATAGGTCTCCCGAAAAGGTCTTTTATTTAAAAAAAATCCATACAATTTGCTTTAAAATACAATGCGTTGACATGCAATGCTTCAATGTACAGTAAAACCTCTATAATTTGTATTACATGAAGTACGTGCAACATCGCAATAGCGTTGTGTCATTATGTAATATATATCCCCAAGGTTGGCAAGTAAATACAAATTTAAAACTGTATACACAAACTTAATGACGAAAAACTCGTACATAAACATCGAAATTCATTAAAAAAACTAACTCACTATGGTAAGAAATAACTGTAATACTTCTATATTGTGTTTTTTCACTTTTAAACGAGTTAATTTTGCGAAAATTCCGAGGAAAATTAATCAAATTCGTAACTCAATTTGATCAAAACTATGCGGGATGATGGCTCCCGGCGTTACGTCACAAAATGAAGCTCTCTGATTCGCTGGGAAATTTCAGCCAGCCAATCGGAGAGTTTTTTTGAAATTTTAAACATTTTCAGCAAATCAGAGAGCTTTATTTTGTGACGTAACGCCGGGAGCAGTCATCCCGCATAGTTTTGACCAAATTGAGCCATTTTCCTCGGGATTTTCGCAAAATTAACTCGTTTAAAGGGATGAGAGAAGAAAAAAACACAATGTAGAAGTATTACAGTTATTTCTTACCATAGTGAGTTAGTTTTTTTAATGAATTTCGATGTTTATGTACGAGTTTTTTCGTCATTAAGTTTGTGTATACAGTTTTAAATTTGTATTTAGTTGCCAACCTTGGGGATATATATTACATAATGACACAACGCTATTGTGATGTTGCACGTACTTCATGTAATACAAATTATAGAGGTTTTACTGTAAATTGAAGCATTGCATGTCAAAGCATTGCATTTTAAAGCAAATTGTATGGATTTTTTTTTAAATAAAAACCTTTTCGGGAGACCTATGGCCGAAGTGGACGCATTCGACATGTCTTTCAGTGATGCAACATCATGAGTGGTATTCCAATGAATGGATCACTCTTGGAGATCAGCATTTAGCATTTATTATTATTGTTTATCTTCCGTCTCGACGGATGATTCAGACGAAAAAGAGATTCATGACCATGAAAATATCAGGCATAACTGCATGGCGATTAAACATATAATTATTTTGTCTGTGGAAACAGCACCTAAATTTATTACTGGAAACCTTTCGATCCTTATAAGCCCGGATCTTCATCAGTGCTAATACTATGTTACTTGTTCAATAGATAATTCCAGTTTTTACGGTTGCAATGTGTTCTAAAACACTGAAAATATAGCCCTGTGCATGTGAAATTAGCAAATTTTGAGTATTTCAGTTGTGCATGCAGGGTAAATCGGCCTTTCAGAAATTAATTTTTCGTAGAAGATTTCTACATCTGTGGAAGCAAAAATTGTTTGCGTGAACATTCTAGGAATACTCAAATGTTTTCGGGACAATTTTTCGTTGTCCGCCCAACGCGTTCCAAGCCAGTGAGAAAATAATGACGTAATTTCTTAAAAGTGGACCGGGGCGAGAGATACTTAATTACGACGTCATCACCTGAGTGTTCGTCACTAATTAAATAATTTCTTGTCGTTCGCTGAAACAATGAATTCGTACAGCGGGATTTTGAACCTCCTGTTCATTGTGTTTTGATGATAAATAGATGAGTTGCAGAGGGAAAAATGTGGGCAGACTGGCCATCGTTGTTGAAACTCCTGACGATACCTGATGCGTGTGCAGCCAAGGTTATTTTGGGAAAAACTTGGCAGTTTTTTTCCGAAATAGCCTTGGCTGCACACGCATATGGTTCGAAGGTAAGATTACAGATATTTGCATGCAGCATGCTGGAGCTAATCCACTTCTAAATAATGGATTGAATTGCGGCTGCGGAATGTTGACCCGAATCACGAATCGTGCACCAGCATAAATACTACATTTAATTGTTCCAATAGTTTTGCCTTGGAGAAAAATAATTTCTTATTTAGGGCCCAAAAGAGAACTATTGTGAAAAAAATTATATTTAAGACGAGTTCAACGAAGAAAAGTGCAGCGGCTGGTATCAGTGAGAGTATCATTTTGTGAGATAGATTTATCTATTTACAAATTCACATTGGAAACCATTAAACAGACCTTCTGAATCAGCAATCATTGATATTGGACCACATGAAGAATGCTCGCACATTGAAACACCAATCTTACCTTCGAACTGGCACTTCTCGCCATTTACTTTGGCGGAAACTGACAGTTCAAAGGTAAGATGCCAGATATTGAATTTATGCCGAAGTGGACGCATTCGCAACATGTCTTTCAGTGATACAACATCATGAGTGCATTCCAATGAATGGATCAGTCTTGGAGATTAGCATTTAGCAATTATCATTAGGGCCATTTATACGGGACAAAATAAGACGCGACTTACATAAGACGCGACTTAAATAAGACGCGAGTTTGTCGTATAAAAGGTACAAAATTCTTATGTAAGACGCGTCTTGGATAAGACGCGTCTTACATAAGAACAGGACTTTTAGCTGTTCTTATTTAAGTCGCGTCTTAAATAAGAAATTGTAGACAAAAATTCTAACTACACATGCCCGAAACTTGAAACAACGTAAAATTATTAGCCTTGCATATTCGAACAAAAACAACCGAAACAACATTATAGCTATGGCAAGTAAATAAGAATAAATCCGTAGAGAACCATTTATGCGATACTCAGCTTATATAAGACGCGTCTTATGTAAGACACGACTTATTTTGTCCCGTATAAATGGCCCTATTATTGTTTATCTTCCGTGTCGACGAACCGGATGATTCAAACGAGAAAGAGGTACATACAGATCAAGAAAATATCAGGCATAACTGCATGGCGATTAAACATATAATTATTTTGTCTGTGGAAACACCACCTAAATTTATTATTGGAAAGCTTTCGATCCGTATAAGCCTGGGTCTTCATCAGTGTTAACAATGTATGACTTGTTCAATGGATAATTCCAGCTTTTGACTAATTTTTCGATCCAGACAAGAAGGACCAAAGCTATCATTATAGCTTAAAAGAACATGCTTAAATTATGATTGTGAAGCTCCTCTGAGTGTGCATCCACATTGTGTGTGGATGCACCGCTCAAAGAAACATCGCAAACATCATATTCACCTGAGTACATAACACCAAAAAACACAAAAAGTATCCTTAAATTAGTAAAATTGCCAATATTCTTGTTGTAAAAATGTTGTAAGATACTGATGATATAGCCCTGTACATGTGAAGTTAGCTCATTTTGAGTATTTCAGTTGTGCAGGGTAAATCGGCCTTTTGGAAATGAATTTGTCGTACAAGATTTCTACTTCTCTGCAAGCAAAATTTGCTTGCGTGAACATTCTAGGAATACTCAAATGTTTTCGCGACAATTTTTCGTTGTCCGCCTAAGGCGTTCCAAGCCAGTGAGAAAATAATGACGTAATTTCTTAAAAGTGGAGCCGCGCGAGAGATCCTTAATTACGACGTCATCACCTCAGTGCTCGTCACTAATTAAATCATTTGTTGTTGTTCGCTGAAACAATGAATTTGTACAGGATTTTAAACCTCCTGTTCATTGTGTTTTTGATGATAAATAGATGAGTTGCAGAGAAAAATGTGGGCAGAACGGCCATCGTTGTTGAAACTACTGAGGTTACCTGATGCGTATGCAGCCAAGGTTATTTTAATTTGGGAAAACATTGGCAGTTTTTTTTCGAAATAGACATGATTGCTTTATGGATCGAAGGGAAGATTACAGATATCTGCATGCAGGATGCTGGGGCTAATTGACAGCTAAATAATGGATTGAATTGCGGCTGCGGAATGTTGACCCGAATCACAAATCGTGCACCTGGATAAATACTACATTTAATTGTTCCAATAGTTTTACCTTGGAGAAAAACAATTTCTTATTTAGTTTCCAAGACAGAACTATTGTGAAAAAAATTATATTTAAGACGAGGTCGACGAAGAAAAGTGCAGTCGCTGGTATCAGTGTGAGTATCATTTTGTGAGTTAGATTTATCTATTTAGAAATTCACATTGCAAACCATCAAGCAGACTTTCTGAATCAGCATGAGTCATTGATATTGGACCACATGAAGAATGCTCGCACATTGAAACACCAATCTTACCTTCGAACTGGCACTTCTCGCCATTTATATTGGCGAAAACTGACAGTTCAAAGGTAAGATTCCAGATATTGAACTTATGCCGAAGTGGACGCATTCGACATGTCTTTCAGTGATGCAACATCATGAGTGTATTCCAATGAATGGATCACTCTTGGAGATTAGCATTTAGCAGTTATCATTATTGTTTATCTTCTGTTTCGACGGATGATTCAGACGAGAAAGAGATGCATGACCATGAAAATAACAGGCATAACTGCATGGCGATTAAACATATAATTATTTTGTCTGTGGAAACAGCACCTAAATTTATTACTGGAAAGCTTTCGATCCGTATAAGCCCGGATCTTCATCGGTGCTAATAATATTTGACTTGTTCAATGGATAATTCCAGCTTTTGACTAATTTTTCGATCCGGACAAGAAGGACCAAAGCTCTCATTCTATCTTAAAAGAACATCCTTAAATTGTGATTTTGACGCTCCTCTGAGTGTGCATCCACATCGTGTGTGGATGCACCGCTCAACGGAACATCGCAAACATCATATTCACCTGAGTACATAACACCAACAAACACAAAAAGTATCCTTAAATTAGTAAAATTGCCAATATTCTTGTTGTAAAATGTTGTAAAAGACTGAAGATATAGCCCTGTACATGTGAAATTAGCAAACTTTGAGTATTTCAGTTGTGCAGGGTAAACCGGCGTTTCGGAAATTAATTTGTCGTACAAGATTTCTACTTCTCTGGAAGCAAAATTTGTTTGTGTGAACATTCTAGGAATACTCAAATGTTTTCGCGACAATTTTTCGTTGTCCGCCTAAGGCGTTCCAAGCCAGTGAGAAAGTAATGACGTAATTTCTTAAAAGTGGACCGGGGCGAGACATACGTAATTACGACGTCATCACCTCAGTGCTCGTCACTAATTAAATAATTTCTTGTTGTTCGCCGAAACAATGAATTCGTACAGGATTTTTAACCTCCTGTTCATTGTGTTTTTGATGATAAATAGATGAGTTGCCGAGAAAAAATGTGGGCAGAACGGGCCATCGTTGTTGAAACTCCTGAAGTTACCTGATGCGTGTGCAGCCAAGATTATTTTGGGAAAATCTTGGCAGTTTTTTCCGAAATAGCCTTGATTGCGCTATTGTTCGAAGGTAAGATTACAGATATCTGCATGCAGGATGCTGGGGCTAATTGACTGCTAAATAATGGATTGAATTGCTCCTGCGGAATGTTGACCCGAGTCACAAATCGTGCACCTGGATAACTACTACACTTAATTGTTCCAATAGTTTTGCCTTGGAGAAAAATAATTTCTTATTTAGGTCCCAAGACAGAACTATTGTGAAAAAAATTATATTTCAGACCAGGTCGACGAAGAAATGTGCAGTCGCTGGTATAAGTGTGAGTATCATTTTGTGAGATAGATTTATCTATTTAGAAATTCACACTGCAAACCATTAAGCAGACCTTCTGAATCAGCAGTCGTTGATATTGGACCACATGAAGAATGCTCGCACATTGAAACACCAATCTTACCTTCGAACTGGCACTTTTCGCCATTACTTAATTTGGCGAAAACTGACAGTTCAAAGGTAAGATTCCAGATAATGGACGCATTCGACATGTCTTTCAGTGATGCAACATCATGGGTGGTATTCCAATGAATGGATCATTCTTGGATATTAGCATTTAGCAGTTATCATTATTGTTTATCTTCCGCCTCGACGGATGATTCAGACGAGAAAGAGGTACATGACCATGAAAATATCAGGCATAACTGCATGGCGATTAAACATATAATTATTTTGTCTGTAGAAACACCACCTAAATTTATTACTGGAAAGCTTTCGATCCGTATAAGCCCGGATCTTCATCAGTGCTAACAATATATGACTTGTTCAATGGATAATTCCAGCTTTTGGCTAATTTTTTGATCCAGACAAAAAGGACCATAGCTATCATTATAGCTTAAAAGAACATCCTTAAATTATGATTGTGACGCTACTCTGAGTGTGCATCCATATCGTGTGTGGATGCACCACTCAAAGGAACATCGCAAACATCATATTCAACTGAGTACATAACACCAACAAACACAAAAATATCCTTAAATTAGTAAATTCGCCAATATACTTGTCGCAAAATGTTGTAAAATACGGAAAATATAGCCCCGTACATGTGAAATTAGCAAATTTTGAATATTTTAGTTGCAGTGTATAGTATAAATCTGCCTTTTGGAAATGAATTTGTCGTACAAGATTTCTTCCTCTCTTGAAGAAAAGTTTGCTTACATGAACATTCTAGGAATACCCAAGTGTTTTCGCAACAATTTTTCGTTATCCGCCCAAGGCGTTCCAAGCTATCCAGTAAGAAAATAATGACGTAATTTCTTAAAAGGTGACCGGAGCAAGATATACTTAAATTACGACGTTATCAGTCAGTGCTCGTCACGAATTAAACCATTTCTTGTTGTTAAATTTTGAACCTCCTCTTCATTGTGTTTATGATGATAAATAGATGAGTTGCAGAGAAAAATTATGGACAGAACGGGCCATCGTTGTTGAAACTCCTGAGGTTACCTGATGCGTGTGTAGCCAAGGTTGTTTTGGCAAACCTTAGCTGTTTTTTTTCGAAATAGCCTTGGCTGCACACGCATATGGTTCGAAGGTTTCATATATCTGCATAGATCATGTTAAGATTTAAGATTTCTGCATGCAGGATGCTGGGGCTAATTGACTGCTAAATAATGGATTGAATTGTGACTGCGGAATGTTGACCCGAATCACAAGTCGTGCAACTAGATAAATACTACATTTAATTATTTGAATAATTTTGCCTTGGAGAAAAGTTATTTCTTGTGTAGGTCTAAAGCAGAACTCTTTTATAAAAAATTATATTTCAGACCAGGTCGACGAAGAAAAGTGCAGTCGCTGCTATTCGTGTTAGTATCATTTTGTGAGATAGATTTATTTATAAAGAAATTCACATTGCAAAACCATTAAACAAACCTTCTGAATCAATAGACATTGATATTGGACCACGTCAAGAATGCTCGACCATTGAAACACCAACTTTACCTTCGAACTAGCGCTTCTCGC